TTGATAGTAAACAAAATTAGTTATTTATGCTCTTGTTTGAATGTCAGTCATTCTTTTTATCTCTGGTCTTTGAGATACCCACATAAAATTTATGTGCATATTTTTTTAAAGAATAGTTTCCATATAATTCCCCAAGAACTGAACTCGAATCTCCAACAGTTTTCAGAACTCAAGCAACCTATGCTTCACAGAGAAAATCTACCAAAGCCCCATTTTTGTTGGAACACAGACATGCTTATTTATGTACGTATTGTTTTGACTGCTTTTATGCTGCCAAGGCAGAGTTGAGTACTTTCAACAGAGCCCATGTGGACTGCAAAGCCTAAAATGTTTATCTGGCCCCTTACAATACAACAATGACCTTGGGTTTTCATGGCACCCCAATGCCTTTTTGGCGACCTGCAGGAATACAGATTCCGATATTCCACGTTTTTTTCTCCTTAGCTTAAGGTTTTTATTCCCGTTAGCTTCTTAGGAAGTTGGGAAAATTTTGTTTTATGTTGCAGATGTTCTCACAGCAATAATTGTGCTGGAGATACAACTTAGTGAAATTTTCCTACAGAACTAAAAACTCAAAATTGCATCATTCCTGGAAAAAAAAGAAATTGAGAGTATGAATTGAATTGGCTGAGAGTGGAATTTAAAAAATTTCTAGCACTTTGAGCATGTTTTAGAAATTTGATCCTTACATTTAAAATTATGTAAATAACATCTTTCACTGGCATTTGCTCACATTTAAGTCAATCTGCAGCTGTTACTAAGCTAAGAAATGAGAATATCCCTTTGGTTCTGAATCTCTCATAATATTCTGGAGTAATTTATATCAATTGGATTTTCATTAATTATTTTAGGAAATAATACACTTTATTTTGTGGCATTATATGACAATGACTTTCTCATCAGTAGCTCAGGGAATAGGCAAACAGGCAGCTCTTTTATGTAAGAAAGCCACTTTCTAATCCCCACACTTTCCTGAGTGTTACATATTTCATTTTTTTTTTTTTTTTTTTTTGAAAAGAGAGGGCCCTGAGTAAATGATTTCCTTTGCTTTTCTTACATATTTAGAAATCCAAGAAGGGCCCTTGTCTTGGTCTATTTCTGTCACAGAGAAATTGTTCATTCCAAAATACCTCCCTTAAGGGAAGCTGGTGACCCAGATATTGAGGAAAACATAGGCATTCATGACCTTTGTGTTTCCGTTTGACTTTCAACATCTGTAACCAAAAGGTCACAAATGAAATATTGAGTAGAAAACTCAACATCAACTTATTAGGAGTACCTAAAATTATAACTCTAAATAATGTTTTCTTTAAACGATTGCAGCAATCAATAATAAAATATAGCCACTAAGATATGCTCGCTGTAAAACTCAGAACAAAAGATGTGAATCATCTGCCAGTCCTCATGGTTGTGTGTAGCAGAGAGACTTTACTGGAATGAGAGAGGGGAAAGATAAAATGCAAATTAAGATTCCACATTCCGACCCCCCCACCGCCCATCTTTTTGATTGCTCAGTTTGAAAACAATCATTGATGGACAGATACTTTAGAAATGAGTAAAGTCAATAGCTAATGTTTCTCCCAGAAACTAAACAACATAGTTTGGGGGATATCGGGCCTACATCCTAACCACACTTTAAGGAAGTGATTTGCTAATTTTAAAGCTTCCCAGGGGCAGCCCACTCCAGGAACCATTTTCCCAGTAAAGTTTCACTGAGAAACTATTATATGCCATGGAGGAGTCAAAGATGAATTAAATCCAATGCTATGCAGGAATGAGCTTTGTAGTTGGAGAGAAAAGCCAATCTTACAGATAAAGCCTGTATACGTACAACCTATGCTAAATTTAGGCAGATGATAAACGCTAGGAATGAAGAGGGAGAAGCTCCCTTTTGCCAGGAAAAGCTTTATGGAAACACAGGCTGTATGTGAAAGATGGGTGAATCTTTGCAGGTAGGAAAGAAGTAGGGGGCATGTCTGGCTGAGAACTGGCTTGATCATAGACTGGAAAAATGCAAGACAGAGGTGAAGCAATAATACTAGATGTGAAAGGCTGAAATACACAGGGAAGTGTTGCCAGTGTGCAGCAGAATCTCATCTTGTGCAAAATCGAATTAGACAGACTTCCTTGCTCCTTTCTTATTCTGGGTAGCTACCTGGGCAGCCTTTCCTCAGAGCATCTAACCTGACATAATTGGCTCATCTGCTGTGCTTCTAAGCCAAATAAAAATAATCAAACACATCAAAGATATTTTGGGGAATCACCAAAGGTTAAAAGTAAAGCCCTCAGTCACTGAAGGCAAAGAACTGCATTGGCCAGGTCTCCACTGACAAAATGGAGTAAACGACAGTATGATAGATAATTTCAAGTTTTGTAAGACTCCAATTTCTGAAAAACTTCAGACTCCAAAAAATCACGTACTTCCTAAAGTGTTGCCAATGAGGACCAAATCAAGGTCACTACTGTCATCGTTATTTCTATCTTTTAAGTTATTTGACCTGAAAAGGTGATCCCCACAGGATTTCTGATAGAATTCTACCTGAAAGCTTAGATTTCAAAAGACAACCTGCAGGAAGCTAAGTGTCACACAACAAAATTTAAAATCATCAGAACTTATTTCTCTAAAGATCCAGCTGCTCCCGTCAAGTCCTTTTTCATGTCTCCCTTTTGTCCCTTTACATACTCTTTTGTAAATTCCTTTTGATATCAGTTATTGCAGGCAGTATTTTTACATCCGTCGTCAGGAAATATTTTTTGGGAGACATTTTGAATCAACTAAAAGTATGTGTACTTTTAGTTGTCTTGACTATTTCAGATGTCTGTGATTAGTTAATGGCTGCATTATTCCTGAGGACAAATAAAATGAAGATAGGGACAAAGATTGACTGTCATTTGAGTGATGGAAGAGAAGCTAAGAAGTGGAGATACTGTGAGGGTACAGAAATCATAGGTTAGTAGACACTGAGAAAGGAAAAATTCCTATTTCCTAATGGGGCCTTTTAGGCTTATCTGACATTATCTGGATGTGTTTTCTAGTCCTTTCTAAAGGAGAAATTTTTATTCCTGGGTTGCTGAAAGCAAAGGGCTAAAGGGATACAAGCAGCTCAATAGCAGCATAGTGGATTAGATTAGTGGAACAGCATTGCATACAGGAAACCTAAATCTAACAGTTTGGGCTGCAAGTCATTAGCCCAACACAAGAGCACATAGGATTTGAAGGACAAAGTATAACTACTTTCAGTTTACACAACCAAGATTATAGGCTACCTTCCCAACTTCTAGCTGAAGAGCACTGAAAACAGAGCTGTGAATACTTCATTTTTAAAACCTGACAAAATGGTGCTATTGACTACTTAATACAAAGATACGTTACAATATATTTAGGTAAATATATTAAGTCTAGCCTGGCCATAAATGTACATACAGAAAATGTTTGTAGAGAATTCATCAAAGTCATGCCCATTTGCTGTTGTAGAGCTACAGTATTCTTCCATGGTGGTAACTGACCAGTGAGTTTCTACTGCCTTCAGTTGGGACCCAACAGTCATGGGCTGTCTCAGCTGCCTGAAGCCTGAGGCAGACCACATGAGAGCTCACTGTGACTTCTTGGATTCAGATTGGATAACCCAATTCAAGGATTAAACGTGTACATATGGGGGTGTGGGGTTTGGGGATGTTTTCCAGGAACTTGAAGAATATGTGACACTATAAAAAATGGGTGTTGGAAGACTAATTGTAGAAATTTGAACTGAGGGTCAATGTTACTTTGTGTAAGTTCACTCAGACATGTCAGAACATGCCCAAAGAAGCCTATACCTTGCTGCTGGGAAATGTAAAGCAGTTTGCATGTAGAATATGATAATAAATCATTTAAGAACCCAAAACTTCGCATTCTGTGATTTCAAATGTTACCACAATTCAAGTGAGACATGATGGACATTTTTCTTACACCTGAAATATGCAGTTGAATCATTCCTTGAATGTTTTCCCATTCTCTCAGATAAAATTATACTTCAAGTTTCATAGCATGTTTTTTTTAACACTGAGTGCTCAAATATTTATTTTCTGTTGAGTAAAACTGTAAAATCACTAGAATTAAAAGAAGATATTAGTAATCATTTAATCCAATAAGCTCACTTTATAAAGAGAGCTATTATGCCCAGGAGAGGTAATGACTTACCTAAGGTCACAGTAGCAGGAAGGAATAGACCAGGGTTGCCCAGCTTCTAGTCCAGTGCTTTCATTACCATTCAGGCTGCTGTAATAAAATACCATAAAGTAGGTGGCTTACTACAATTTATTTCTGACATTTCTGGCAGAAGTCCAAGAACAGTCCTGCAGACATGAGGGCCTGCTTCCTCACAGAGGGTGCCTTCTTGCTGTGTCCTCGCATGGCATCTCACTTGGGCCTCTTTTATAAAGGTACTAGTCACATTGATTAGGGCTACCTAATCAACTCTCAAAGCTTTAAAACCATTATCTTAGAGGTTAGGATTTCAACGTATGAATTTTAGAGGAACACAAACATTCAAACCATAGTACCAGATGTTTTATTAAATGAGGAAAATAACTTCCTGCTCCATAGTCATATTTTCTATGTTTCCCACAGCATCCCTAACTGCTTTCTGATAACGTAGATCAGTGTCCTTGTCATTACTTTTAGTTTTTTCAATTCCAAACAAAACATGGTAATTCCTAATCAAAGTAACACAATTATTTGAACATGTGTACAATAAATCCTGTCCATAATTTACAAAGGCAGAATATAGTCGTCATTTGTTCTAAATATATAATAGCAAATAAAGATTCAGCAGTATTGTATAATAGCTAAATTATATGAGACTGCAGGAGAGATCAGCATGTGTGTTTTTAACTTTATTTTCCAGGTTTATATTTTTCTTTTGTAGGAATTCAGAAAGTTAAATTACATACTTTAAGTTCAGGCATACGAAACTAAATAGTACTTAATGTTAAATTACAAAGATAATATCAATGACGAATTTTAAGAGTGTCTAGAAATTTTTATTTTATTTCACAGCAATTTAAAAATACATATTTTATTGATACTAATAACATATTCTTTATTAGTTTAATAAATATTCTAGTTTTACATATTGGTTCATAAAATAATTATATAAACTTCTTTAAAAAATCTATATTATAGCTTTCATTGAACTGCAAGAGATAAATTTTAACATTTATATATGTAAAATCTGTAAAAACAGTACAATAATTGAAAAATTATAATTCCAACTTCCTGTTTTTTGAAATTATTCTGACGTTTCTTCAACGCTGAAGCCCTAACCTTCTCTACTTCTAGAAGTTGAATAAGAAAGACACGGAAGACACATCAGGCAGGTAATTATACAACACAGGTTCTAAGGGAAACCTGATCAGGCCTCTTAACTTCTCTGGTTCTGTTGATTTCTCTATATGGTGGGGATCGCTACAGCCCCATTTACTTAAAAGAAACTGGATTTAAACACCTGATTCAAAAGATGGTAGTATACTCTCCAATAAAGAGGTAAAGCTTTTATCTGTATTACAGGCAATGCTCTGTCCCTGTAGCCCCTGCCATGCAGTCTACATCCCCTAAAAGCTCAATAGACCATTAAGGGCTTAAATTGTGCAATGTTTTCCTATCTTCTCCAGATACAACTTCAATTACATTGTTGTTTAGCTTGAGATATTAATTGAATTCAACACTACTGTTGATAAAATGTCCTTCAGTTAGAAAAGGAATAGGCTGAAGGGAGGGGAATAAAAAAACTCTATTAACTAGGAGATATTTTGCACATAGAAATCTACAATTTCAAATATATCCAACCTCAAGAAACACTGAAATGAAGAGAATTTTAACATTTACAAGTCCACTAGTACTTTATCAATTTATATTATAGATTAACTACAGAATGCTAGATTCTCATTTTTTCTGAATATTGTTTTAAACTTTAAGGGTTAACTAAGAGTTATTAACACAAACTAATATTTCATGCAAAAGTATCACTTTTATTATAAGTTTTTTCTTGTATGGAACTAATTTCCTTAAAAAATAGCTACTATGTACTGAAAACAGTATTATGCCAAATATTTCTTACATACACAAGTTTCTAATATATACTACCTACAAGCTACAGAAAATAACCATCTAACAAGGCAGATTATATTCTTTCATTTCATCAACTGCCATATCAAAAGTTACTTATCTTTGAAGGAAAATATTTTTTGGCAATAATTTTATTTCATTGGCAACTACTAACTGATTTATATCTAAAGTTTAAATGTCCTATTTAGCAAGCAAAGAATCTAGAGACTAGAAAAGATTTCCATTTAAGATATTATTTCATATTAGTCTATTTCATCTTATAACAAGACAAATTAATAAATATACTATAGGACTGTGCTATTCAATACAGTATCCACTGGCCTCATGTGGCTGATGAGCACTTAAAATTTGGCTTGCCCAAATTAGTAAAATGCATACCAGATTTCAGAGAATTAGTACAAGAAACAATACAAACTATCAAAATAAATCTTTATATCAATTACATGTTAAAATAACATTTTGAATGTATTAAGTTAAATAAAATATAAAAATTAACTTCAGCTGTTTCTTCTAGAATTTTTTAAATTACATATATCACTTAGATTATTTTTCTACCCTACAGCATTGCTATAGAAGCAGCAGACTCAATTATTTACGTTAATATCCATCCCAACCCACATCATTAAGCTTTTATATCATTATGGTATAAGATAACATATTTAATACATGATCACAAGATTCCTGAGCTTAGAATTATGAACACCTCCACTCTCCAAAACAAAGCCAAACAAAACCTATAGTAATTATCCTGGCAACAGTGATAAACTTTAGATTTGTGTTAGATATGAGTCTGCAAAAAAGACAAAAGGAATCTTTCGGAATGATGGAAAAGTTCTAAATCCAGATTGTGTTGATGGCTGCACAATTCTACATATGTATTTAAAAACTCACTGAATTAGACACTTAAAAATGGGTAAATGACATAATATGTAAATTATATATCAATAAAGCTGTTGTTATTTTTCTAAAGTACACAGCTAGAGCCCAGCAGATTTCAGAGCCCATCTAGAAGCTGCACATATTTTTTAGGTGATTCAAACATAATTTTTAAATTCATCATCTTCACAATGAAAATTTTTCCACGAGGGTAATTTTACCTAGAGTGGATCCATGTTTAATAGTAAATTATGTAATTACTCCATAGGAAGTATATGTTGATAAGGACAAAGAGAGCACTAGAGTAGAGATAGCAGGCAGTTTATTTGCTTTTAGGGATCTCCAGGTCAGGAAATAATAGCCCTTATAATAATGTATACTATCTTGTCACAAATCCCTTACCCAAGTTAGGCACCTTTGGAATTTCACCATCCTAGATAGAATAGTAGAACATGAGACTTCCTACTCTATACTAATATAAATAAGTGAACAAAATAGAAGTCAAAACTAACATTTACCCATTACCATGGGAAACTGAAACTAATAGTTTTCTTTCACTACTGCAGAACGAATGAAAGGGAAAGAAATCTAGTAATTCAAAAGTAAATTCAACTTAGAAAAGGATACTGGTAATTAATAAGCCGTTAAGAATACAGACCCCTTTGTGCATCCCTCCTATCAGAGCTGGATCAATGTCGATACTATGAGATTATTCACCATGAACATTGTGGTGCTGCCACCTTTTGTTTTTTGAAATCTGTCATCTCCAGGAGCAAAAAATAAATAAAAACAAAAGTAAAAAACAGCTTCACTGCTCCACTTTGACAAAATGGGTATGAAGAACTATGATTTATTCTTTCTTTACACCCAGGAAAACTCAATAAAGTAAAACACAAATCAAACTATCATGCACTTGAAACACTATACGCTTTTGTGCATTTTGTGGCCTTTCTAGCATGTATTTCAGGGCCCATTTTACCCATATTAGCAACAACAAAACAGTAGACACAGAAATACTAATACATCAACAACTGACATTAAACATTGAAATGGATTTCAAGATGTGTGCATGTACACAAACAGATAAATATATACAAAGATTTGCCTGCGTACACTGAAAGGCCTCAAGTTCTCATTTTAGAAGTAAACTAGATGGATAGTTCAAAACCCAAAGTCATTTAGAATGTGAAAATCATTTAGAAAATCTCACTTAAGGCAGCCACAAAATTAATTAGGGGACCCATAATACTCCATTCTAATTATTATAAAATGGTATCTAGGCACTAGATAAATCTAAGAATGTATTTGTTCCAGCTACAGACTGATACTTTTAAGAGACTCAAAATTTAGACAGCAACTGAATTCCACATTTTAAATTGGGGGAATTTAAATCCCCCAGGAATGGGGGCTCATGCCTATAATCCCAACACTTTGAGGGGGATGAGGTGGGGAATCTCTTGAGGTCAGGAGTTCAAGACCAGCCTGGGCAACATAGTGAGACCACATCTCTACAAAAAATAAAAAAAAAAATAAAAAAAAGGAATAGCCATGCATGGTGGTGTACCTGTAGTCCAAGCTATTCAGAAGGGTGAGGTAGAATAACCCCTTGAATGGTCAGATCAAAGCTGCAGTGAGCTGTGATCACACCACCGCCCTCCAGCATGGGCAGCAGAGTGAGATTCTGTCTCAAAATTTAAAAAAAAGAAAAGAAAATGAAAATGCCCTCTCTTAGATAGCTATTTACTTTAGGAATAAAACCAAATGTACTACTAAACCAAAATTATTTCAAATTTTTCTACAGGCTATGCAGAAGAGTGGAATCAATGATTTTTACAGGCCATGTGGCTGAGAGACAGAGTTGATCCATAGTCCTGCAAGTTTGAACGCATTTTGCCTATAATAAAGCTTTTCGTAAATCACCATAGAAGTTGGTTAAAGTGCTTGCCATGGCTGTGTCTACTGCTGACTGAGGAATCATCCCACGCAGATCTGTCTGAATATATCCTGTCAAAAGACTCTGGTTTGGGTTGTCCTTAAGTGGAACACAAAACCAACCACAGGGATGGTTGTATCCTCGAACAAATTCTGGTCTCTTTTCATCCCAGTCAAGACTTATTCCTACAAGGCAATTTTAACAATAACACTATTAATAGCAACAACTGACATTTATATAAAACTCTAATTTAAAAACATTACCAGAATTCTTTTTAAAATATTTATTCTTATCCATATAGATGAAAATTAAACCCCAAGAGTGACCATGGCAGAATGAAAAAGAGACTTACCAAGGAGGATTCTGACAAGAGGTTGGCAGACAGGTAATGGGGAAACTTTAATCCTTTCAGAATACATGACATCATGTCACCTTAGTAACTCCTTGGAAGCTACAAATCTTGGTTGTAGCACCTAGGCTTCGAGGTGCCAATAATCCATGGTGCCTCCTAACTATTCCCCACAGTGACGACCATATTATACTTTGGTACTTGCTAGTTAAGAATAATCAAGTAGATGTTTACTTACAACTGCTAACTCATGTATATATTATATACAAAATAATATTAATTTACCTATAGGTACATTTTAGAAAACAGGAGCCTTCCAATGGCAGTATTTTTAATCTTGAAAAGAAAAATACAACAAAGCTCAAGGAAGGAAGAATATCCTAACACATACCAAATCTAGTTTTCCTGTGTATATGATCAGAAATTGTTTTCCAAGGGCGTCTTAGAAGAAAACCTATTTACAAGACCCCTTTCTTAGAGGCAGTCATGTGATCCACATTTGCCACCTCTGACCTAGAGGATACTATGTAACTGGGAACAAAAACTTACCAGAAAGGTTTCAGAAACCCTTCTGATATTGTTATTTTACTCCCTAGAGTTTAGCATTTGCAAAAAAATTTTAGTGATTACAGGGTCAGAGTTCAAAATATATTTCACAAAGAAAGAAACATCCAGTCTAGAAAATACGAATATTTAAACCATACTGAAAAAAAAGCATAAAGTTTTGAGATTATTACCACAAGATAAAAGCCCTTCTTTATAGCCCACAGTATAGGAGAAATCAACAAATTCTCTTGGGGAAATTATATTCCAAAGCTGACCAGCGGTAGTGTAACGCATCACACAGCAATTCTGAAAAACAAGAGGTAAGACAAGTATTACTACTATAGGAAACACACATACCTTCATATATCTCTGGAAAGAAATGAACATTTATTTAAAATGTTTCATAATTATAATAATTCTTACACTGATTCTGACAGATCTAGATCTCTATGCTAAATCTCACTGCTATGGGATGGCCATGAAGAAGATACATAATCAAAATAGGTACAAGTTATCCAGTATCCAAATTTCTAATTAAATACAGTCATATTTTATTCTATATAACAACCCACATGGAATTAAGGGATATAGACTGCTTTAGTGTTCAAGATCAAATCCACAAATACTTTGACTACAACATTTTAATTTAAAGAAATCAAACATTAAGCAAGAAATTAATAAAAATAGAAACAGCTTGCTATTTTGGCTACATAATTTTAGAATATTTAAGGTAGGATTTTTATCTTTGGTCTTTGATGTTGGCTTAGTATTACAGAAATGCCTCACACATTCACCTAGAAACCTAAATATAATAGTGGTCTTTTCAGAATTTTAGATTTCAGAATCTTAACTAGAGTTTTACAATTAAAGATGCTGAATATTTTTTTTAAGCAGCAAGGATATAGCTACTGTGGAAAACAAACTCAGTCTAACACTCATTAATTAGTATGAGGAAATGCAAACTTTTAAGAGGCAGCATGGGACTCCCATGTGATATCTTTGTCATGAGTACTATACTCAAAGCAATGAATATAATGAATATAAGTATGTACAAATGCTCAAGCTCATATACTCTGGCTCACTCATGCACTCTCTCATGCACATACACATAGTCTAAAGCAATGGTTCTATAAACAGATACCTCTTCAAAGTTCTCCAAAATATCCAATGAAGTCATCAAGCTGTCCCAATCCAAACGACAAGGCCCTGGGCGTATATGGTCTATTATACTATTGACAAGGTCTTCTATAACACCTTGGGCTTTGTAGCTGGAGGAAAAAAGTTAAAGTCAACTGCTGTTACAATAAAAAATTTCAGCATACCCTTATAGTATATAGGTAACCTTGAAAGTAAGAATAAAACTTAGGCCAGGCACAGTGGTTCACATCTATAATCCCAGCACTCTGTGAGGCCGAGGCTGGTAGATCACTTAAAGTCAGGAGTTTGAGACCAGCCTGGCCAACAAGGTGAAACCCTGCCTCTAGTAAAATTATAAAACTTAGCCAGGCACAGTGGCATGCATCTGTAGTCCCAGCTACTTGGGAGGCTGAGGCAGAAGAATCGCTTGAACCCCAGAGGTGGAGGTTGCAGTGAGCCAAGATCATGCCACTAGGCAACTGAGTGCGATTCCATCTCAAATAAATAAATTAATTAATTAAAATTAAAATTAATGAAGAGTTTTTTTTCTAAAGGGAATAAATTCCAGTAACTTTTCTGATAAATTATGTTCCACCACTTATTTTATCAGCATGTACCCTTTAGCCTCAACTCTAATAAGAGAACTGAAGGATATACTATGTATCATAATGAACATTGTAAGTCGCTTCATGTTATAGAATAGCCAAAAACAGTCTATAGAATGCCGTAAGGTTTCCATTTATTTAAATTTTTTTCTCAGTTATCCTCTGACATATTAGCACATGAATATTTTTACCTCGACTTTTAAAAACTTTTTATTAGGAACAGAGAAATAGGGCAATAGAACAGAACACCAAGGAACTGACTCATAAATATGTCAGCACTTGACATATTTCAAAGGCAGCATTACTTATCAGTGGGGAAAAATGGATAATTCCATAAATGGTGTGCCTAGATTCAATAGTTATCCTTATGGAGAAAATAAAACTTAAGTTCCTATTTCCACTACTCATAGTAATTAATTCCAGATAAAAATTAAATATCTATGTAAAATATGTAAAATGAAAAACTTTAAAATTTTGAGAAAAATATACAAGATACCATTTTTGTGACCTCAGACTACACAGGGACTTCTTGAATATGTAAAACACAGAAAAACACAAATAATACAAAAGATCAATGAAAATTAGCATGCACACCACACAAGAAAATATAAGTCATTTTTTAAAACTAGCCACAGATTGGGAGAAGGTAGGTAGGGCTACACATATAAACAAATAATTATTATAGAGGATACATTGGTTCTATAAACCAATCGGAAAAAGAAAATCCACAGAAAAGATGGGCAAAGGACATAGTAAGATTGACCTGAGATATCAATAAATATATAAAAGATGTTCAACTTCACTAGTAATCACGTATATACTAACAAGAACAATCTCATTAATACCCTTCACACTGACAGAGATTAAAAACTTGTAAGTAGTAAATAGTAACCTTAAACTGCTACTTTAGAGAGCAAGTTGGTAATGTCTGAGGAATGGAAGATATACACCCCTATGACCCAAAGAAAATTACACGTGTGCACAAAGAGGTATATCCCAAAAGGTTTACTATAGCATTGTACTTTGTAGAAAACAACTGACAACAGCCTAAAAATCTATCAATAGGCAAATCTGCAAACATAGATAAAAACATTGTGGTATATTAACAAAAAAAAACCCAATGGACTTACATATAACAACATGGCTAAATCCTGAGAACATAATATTTAATGAAAAAATAAAGGCAAATTACTGAACAAAATATACACATACAAACACATACACATGAACATAAAAAACACACGAAATAATGCTTTTTATTGTTTATGGATATATAATGATGTGGCAAAGTACGACAAAGGAACAATACACATAACTTCAGGACAGTAGTTACCTCTAGGGATGAAAGAAAGGAGATGAAATTAGAAATTAGCTTCAGCTCTACCAGTACCTTTTTATTTAAAAAAGCATCTGAAGCTATTTAATCATTTTATAATATCTCAAGCCAAACTTATATTATCTCCCCCATCGTAAATCTGCTCTCCCATCCTATATTCTTTAACTTGGGGTAGGAGGTAGGTGGAAGTAACATAAATAAGTCTAGTCAAATTAGAATTCCTTAGATTCAGCTATGACTCTTCTTTTTCTCTTAACCCCATTTCCATAGTCAGAATCAGTCACCACATTTTTTATCAGGAGTATTTCCTAAATATAAAGTACTTAGAACAATACGTGGCTCCCATTAATGTTGGTTATCATTACCACCATCATTAAATCTTTCACATTCATTTGCCCTTTTGGACTTCTGTGCTACTGCCTCATTTAGAGTACTTTGTGTCCAACTACTCTTTTGATCACATATCCCTTTAAGAATCTGAAAAAAAAAAAAAAAAAAAAAAAAACCACCAGTTTTTCTCCTATGTTTTTATGTGGTAGATATGCAATTCCTTCTGCCTAGGACATGAAGCCTTTCATTCCTTAAGAAATACTAATTCTTAAGTCTTAGCTCAAATATTAGCTCTCTATGAAGTCTTTTCAGATCTCCAAGCATAAAGCTCCCTTGGCAGTGTTTACACTTTCAGGCCTCACTGGGAATTACTGATTTAAAGAATTAACTTCCATACTTGCTTACAATGCTCAATCCACCTCCAATTTCCCCGTCCTTATCATAAATATTATACCATTCAACTCTCTGGGAATGTTATCTTTGGCATTACACTTCAGAAGATTCCATGTATACTAACAGGGTCCAGCAGTTTTATTTTTTAAAATGGCTGAGTGTTAAGTATGTGAATATTCTACTCCAAGTATGCAAGGCAGCTGTCTCTACAAGCTTTAAAAAGCAATATATTATTTTCTTATGTTATTAAATAATCTTCAAAAATGTGTTTTTTAAAGGCTATATCATGTTCTATCACAGATGTTTCATACTGAATCATCTATTGATTATTCAGGTTTATAATGTTCAATATTATAAATAATGCTGTGATAGAAGAGCAAGTACTTAAATAACTGTTATTTTTCTGATAAATTCTTCAACATAAGGTCCTAGGATAAAATGTTCTATAGCACTGAGTAAATGTAGAATATTAGAAGAGTCATGTATACAATGCTAAGAAATTCAGATTTTATCAGCCATTTTATATCATTATTTATGACCTCCTCACCACCAACTCAGACCACAAAGGACACGGACATTTTGAAGGCTCTGAATTCATAAGGCCAATATGCTTTCCAGAAAGTTAAAAAAATTCACCCGGTGCGGTGGCTCACGCCTGTAATCCTAGCACTTTCAGAGGCCTAGGCATGTTGATCACTAAGTCAGGAGTTCAAAACCAGCCTGGCCAAGATAATGAAACCCTGTCTCTACTAAAAACCACAGAAAAATTAGCCAGTGTGGTAGCAGGCACCTGTAATCCCAGCTACTCAGGAGGCTGAGGCAGGAGAATTACTTATACCCAGGCAGCAGAGGTTGCAATGAACTGAGATGGTGCCACTGCACTCCAAACCTTGGTGACAAAGTGAGACTCCATCTCAAAAAAAAAAAAAAAAGTTAAAAAAAATCTTAAAAAGCTAAATCCTACTAGCAATAACTACTAGTGATAATGCATATAAGTTTCAGAAAGTCTTAAGAGCTGCGTAAATCTATTAAGATGTACTTACAGATATCCATTAAATTCTTCTGAGGGTTTTCTCCAAACAGTTACATCTTTCTAGAAAAATAAAAACATTATATGGTAATAATTACATAGGTGGAATGCTAGACACAAAACTGACAATTTTATAAGTCTAGGGAATTTGTCTTTGCATTAAAATAAAACTTCAGTACATTTTCAGAATACATAAAAGTCATCTACATCAATAAAAGGAGGATTTGTATTTGAGTTTCTTCTGTATCCTAAAGTTCTTCACATTGTAAATGATAGACCTCCAAAAAATATTTTCAGTAGCATTTAATGAGATCCAAATACTGTAAGAGTCAATGATGGCACTATCTTAGTCCAATCTTACTTACCATTACCAATGCATTCAGACTATGACACTAGAAACACTAAATATTTCATTCTAAAATTGTTCATAACTTTAAAACAATTAAACAATTAACATTTATTATGATAGTTTTACTGTGAATTAGTCCCTACAGTTTTTCCTCATCATTTCCCAAGTAATTCTGAATATCAGAATAGCTAGAGCACTTAAATAGAAGTGTCCTGGGTTTTAGAATTGGTTCTAGCAACACTCAACTCACCCATGTAATAGTCTGGGCAAGTCATATTAGTAAAAAGGAATACTGACTAGCTACCTTCATAGGCTTTTTGATATATCTGAAACTATTCTAAACTATCGAGTACTACACTTTCTTAAATTGATAATGATACATGTTATTTGCTGACTTAAGAGAGCATTCTTTAGGCTCTAGATTTCAGGAGCCTATCCTCTTGTCTAAAATCCAAAGAGCTAACAAAAGCAGTATAGGATTACTACTGATGTATTTCTTCCTCTGTGTGACATGAGACCATCAACTTTATTAGCTCAATTATTTATCTTGCATATTCATCCAAAGTACAGGTAGTGCTCGAATTACGACCACGGTCGGGACCGCGGAATGGACATAACACGATTTGGTCCTAAGTTGAGTAAGCTAAATGTACAGTTGAAATGGTGCCACGCGGAGATGGTAGTGCTGCCAGAAGCTGGTCCGCACTGTCGTATGCCCAGCTGGGCAACGTTTGCGCTGCCAGACGCGGAGCAGTCATGGCTAGTGACTGTGGTCATAAAGTCGAATGGTCGTAAGTTGCATAGGTGGTAAGTCGATCAATATCTGTATGGTCTTTGTCCATATTGTTCCATATAATTTTAAAAGTCATCAACTAATTCATTGGATAGAAGATACACCGTAAACAGAAGTAACTGAACTAATTTACCGTTTTCTTAGCAACTCGCCACTTATCTTCTTCAATGCTGTGGTACTGGATGAGAGTGTTTTTAAGTTTAGTTGCAAGAGAAGCAACATCAGAAAGTCCTTCCATTTCTTCTCTCTGTTATGGAGACCAAGATTAGTATCAGCAAATACCACAAGTTGAGGCAATAGACCAGTGGGTCTCAAATCTGGCTTTACAATATAATAACCTACCAGAGCTAAAAAAGATAGCTACCCTCACCCCAAATCATCTAATCATAATTTCTGAGAGTAGGACCTGGGCATCGTTTTTTCCTAATTGCACCCAAGATGAACAACCCATAGCCAGAGGTGAGAATCACATATTTTTTTTTACAGTTATTAAAATCATTCATATAAAAGAGTAAAAGGGAAGGCAGGAGGAGAGCGAAGGGATTGCATCTGTCTTGTATAGATGTTGTTAACTCTCAGACGTTTACCTCCAGCCCCCACTGTTCCAATGGACTCAAAAGTCCCAGATCCAGAAGCCTACCGAAAGCTTCAAGACTAAAGGGAATCTCTTGACTCCCCTGGCTTCCCTCAGTTTGCCACAGTATTCCTCATTTTAACAATTTCCTATTAAAATGGTAATTGAGCCCAAATTTTCAAGTCAAAAAGCTTGGGATTACCCCTAACAGGAATAGGTTCCTTTCAACACCATCATACCTCATTATCTAGTGGTCTAGTCCCACTGATTATCTTTCTGTCCCTCACACAGATCTAGCTTATCACTGACTTAGGGTCTCTGTACTCGATATTTCTCTGCCTAAATGGCTAGATCCCAAATCTTAGCATCACTAATAACAATGTAATGCCAATTTCAGTTTAAATCTCCTATCCTTCATAAAACCTTCTGCAGTTACTGTTACATCTTTTCTTCATAGTGTTTATCATTCTCAGACAATATAACTTGTTTATTCATAGGTGTTAGATTCTACTCTTAGCCCACCTCATTCCTAACTAATAGCATAGAAGTCCTTGTTTTATTCATCACTGTATCTCCACCACCTAGAACACTGCCAGGCACAGAGTAGACCCTTATTTTGTTGATGTGTTATTGCTTCAAAACAAAAATTACTTGGTCTTTGTCTTCTTTTGGTGCCAGAGCCCCAATTTCTTCACGTAATTCCTTCTTTTCACTATTCTATCTCTATTCCTGCCACTCTTCAGTAAAAGGCTAAAGGGAAAAAAAGTTTTAGGGGTAAAGTTGACCATTACAGAACCATAAAATTGCTGGCAAAGAGGTCAAGAAAACATTTAAATGAAATCTCAAGCCCCAGCCTCTATGGGAATAAGGTTGACAACGACGACCTTACAGATGCACACATCAGAGTCACCTTTTTATGCTTTGTAGTAGTTGTTGCTGTTTTTAGATGTTAGATTTTAGGGTCCAGTGCCAAACAGTGTGATTCAGTGGCTTTGCTCTGGAATGGGTCTCAGAAATGTAGGTCCTTTAAAATAGTCTCACTAATTATTCTGTTGTCTAGCCAGGGTTCAGAAATAACTGATCTAAAAAAACTAAAGTGACAGAAATAAATTAAGGTTGTAGCCAACATTTAAATACCACTAATTAGAGCATATAAGCCATTAAAATTCATAAATACTAAAATTATATAGAAACATGGGAAAGTATACATAGAAAATTCACTATACCTTTTAGGATCTATATAAGTGATACAAAGTGTATAACAAGTATAGATCCAATCCATGGATGGAAAGTTGATGAGCTCATTCAAAAAGTCTCTCAGTCAAGAATATACCCAATTTCATTCAAGAGGCCGTCAACTTAATAGCCAGTACAATGACTTTATTCAAGAGTATGCCATAAGCAAGCACAAGTTCTTGCAGAAGGCTTGTTTTTTTTTGTTTTTTTTTAATCTATTACTGGAATCACTATGATTAAACATATTCTATAAACCCAAAGGTCACCTATTAGGTTCCGTGGTTGGTAGATAAGAGTATTTACTCAAAACCTTTTGATAGAAATCAAAGATGAAATGGAAAGTTATTATCAGAAGCAAACATTATCATTGGGCAAATCCAGTACACAGAAATTTACCTAGAAAGTTACCTAGAAAGGATGAGAATGTGCAGCTTTAAGGTACTTAGTACTATCATTCATTCATATGGATCAGCATAAAGGTCAAGCTCCTTGCTATAGCTTACAAGCCCTTTTATGATGTGGCATATTTTCATTACCTAATTTCCACTTATCTTTCTTGGACTCCCCTGAACTTGGGTTAGTTCCCCCTCCAATATTTTCTGACAGCAACTCTGTGCTGTAATTATTGACTTGCTATCTTCTCCCTTTTAACTGTAAAATCTTTGGGGGGCAGGAAATGTGGCTTGTTCAATGTTATTCTCCTTATGTTTTAGCATTCAATATGAAAACAGTGAACAAAAAATGGAAAAAATGAATAGACAATAAGCTACTATTCTCACTTATGGAACACCTCAAGATTATCTGAGTATGCTCACTTATACTAGAGCTTCTGAGAAACTAAAACTTCCATTACCATAATGAAATACAATTTCTTAAAGAGGTCTACTATTAAATATTTATCAAACATCTATCATATACCAGGTCCTAGAACTACAGAAACAGATGGAATCCAGTTTTTACTCTCAAGGTTGACTTATTCTACCCTTAAGCTTTCACAGAAATAACAACAAAAACTAAAATATTTTAAAAATTCTACTAATAGTTTTTTAAAGCATGGTGCAGTGGGAGGTAGGAAAGGAAGAGAAAGAAGTACAAAATCAGAATGCTCTCTCTGATTAAATATGTCTAGCAACATATTTAACCAGGCAGTTAAGTCTCACGTGGATTATTTTCATCAAGATTAAGTCCATCATGAAATAATAGTTGCCATCAAAACTGCTACCTCTGTGTAAACAGGCATAATCGAGCATCTCTCAAAATATGAATCTATTCTAGAACCAAGAAGTCAGGGGGAGAATATTGGGTTACTAACGTCTTGGCTCTTTCTCCTTATATAACAGGATACTGACATTAATTGAAAGGAAAACACGCTATTTGACCTCCTGCAATCTCCAACTGTGGAGAATGTCAGGAAAATGTTTTAAATACCATTCTGAACTTCCTTTTACTAATTCAGTCTTTTATTCCCTTATCTTCACCTTATATCAATAAATTATCCAACTCTAACATTTACATTTCAAGAGAGAACAGGCACCACTTAACCTTATCAGAATGTAATAGCTTCATATAAAAGATTTTATATTCTTGTCGGTCCCATGGCCAAATACTGAGTAATGTCCACCTCCATGTTTTTTCCTTAAACTAATCTTTTTGTTCATATTTTCTATGTCCATGTTTTTGAAGCGATCACTAGTGGTGACAGTGGCTGCCATCACAGGGAGGGCAGCTTTCTTAAAGGTAAAAATTTTCTTGAGGCCATCTATCAGCACCATAGTCTTGATCAATCCAACTCCATTTATTCTCAACTATCTGTCACATATTTTAAATATGGAACATAATAAAACATTTAACCTCTAATAGAAAATAAATGCCATAAAAATCTGTTTGTACTTTTGTAATATGACTAAAGAAGTGCGGGTATCAGAATTGTCTAACCTTGCATTACTTGAATAATATGGTTTTCACTTCCGTGAACAGCTTCAGTTTAACATGCCATGGACTTTCCCCGGTGTCGTACAAACCAAAGCTTTGTAAATTTAATTATATTTTCTAACTAAGATAAAAATTTCAGCATAAGCTGGATTTCCAATAAATGTCGAACTATAAAGTTTTCCAACTCAGACAAGTACAGCAGCTTCTATTTTTTCAGACTGGCTCTGGCAGGCGCTCACTATTTAAAGAAATGCAACATGGAAATGTACTTCTACAATATGAATGATCCAGCTTACTTTTCAAATCCCTAATGTTCTAATACTTGATTAAAAAAAAAACCCTAATGCTCTGTACTTGATTTTAAAATATAACAATAGCTAACACCTACTGATCACTTACTATGTGGTCAGTCCTTCTGGCTGCTTTACAGAAGGACTGCATTGTATTATTTCATTTAATACAACAGTAAAAGTCCATCTATCATTGTCCCTGTTTTACAGAAAGCGAAAATTGCAACAGAGAGGTTGAGTCATTTGTCTAAAATCACAAGCTCATAAGTGATGGAGCCAGAATTCCAACCCAGGTAGTCTGACTTCAGAGCCTAAAGCTGTCTTGTAAACCTGTGGAAGCTGATCACAAGCTGGAAGAGACTTCACATTAAAAACCTGGGCCCACCATGAATTTGTCAAATTTTGTCCTGGCTGCTGAACCCAAAGATCTAAGGTGATTTTTCCTGTGTGTGAATTAGGGGAAACAGTGACGCTAATTTGGTGAGAAATTATGAGTTAATACATTTAGCAGGGACCTTGGAAGGCAGTAAGCCCGGGGAAAACTTCGTCTCAAGCCATCAGCATCACCTCCGCGAAGCCTGGTGGGACGCGGCTGCCCCTGCGCTGTCAGTGCGCCTAAGAACCAGGAAGCGCGGTGCGCTCGTGCGAACAGGACTGCCCCCAATCAGGCGGGATTACCACCGCCCCGCTCCCATTTCACAGCTGAGGACACTGAGGCCTAATGGCGTCCTAGTACTTAAACAGGTGGGCGGCGTGCAGGGGCGAGTTGTAAGCCCTGGGATCCTCCCTGCTCGCCCCGTCCCCTCCGTGGAGCTCAGTTTTCTTTCTCTGTGAGGTCCACTCCCGCCCGGACGCCAGGGCCCGCCATCCCCAACGCCCACCGCGGACTCCCTCGTCCCACGACCTAGAGCAGGTCCAGAAGACGCACCTGGCAGGGCGCCCCGGCCGCCGCAGTCCCGCCGCGGCTCGGTGGCTCGCCCCACGGCTGCCCGAGGTGAAGCGAGGACGTGGAAGCAGCCACCGCGCGCCACGCAGCACCTCACACCGCTCCCAGCAGCACCGATCAGCCTCCCAGCCCGCCGAGGCGCAGGCGGCAGCAGCCCGACGGGAAGGAACCCAGCACCTCCGGGTAAGGCGGGCCGAGCCCCCGGTCCCGCCCCCTGGCCCGGACCCGGGCGCTCCCGGGGGCTGGGAGGAGGTGGCCGGGAAACGCGCGCTCGCTCGTACGGGCTGGCGCGGGAGCGTGTGGAGCGCTGATTGGTCGCAGATGAATGGAATGATTCCGCGTGGGTGTGGGCTGGCCCGAGCCGCGCCGGGGTGCCCCGGAGGTCTGGGGTTGCCTGCAGGTTTGGATTGGTGGGGCTGTCCTGTAGGCACTTAATTGTGAGAGAACTTTGCCAGGCAGTAAACCAACTGGGAGACAGAGAAACAGAAGTCGAAGTGAAGGATCACAGTGAGGGATAAAGCTGGTCCAAATTCATCCCGCTTGTGGATATCCTAGCAGCACGCCACTGCTCTACTCCTCCCAGGACCCACTCTAACCCTGACCCTAACCTTTCTTACTTCTCAAATGAGAAAAAGAGCCCGTGCAGAGGAGGGCGAGCTCTCTGCCTCCTGCTTAGCCGGACTCAGAACTGAGAAAGCTGGGAAGGAAAATGAAAGTCACTGCCACTGTGTGAATTGACCTTTAGGCAAACGTGTGTGTGTGTGTGTGTGTGTGTGTGCGTGCGCGTGTGCCCACCGTCAGATAAACGTTTAGAGGGCAACCTTACTGTGTGAATTGACCTTTAGCCAAACGTGCGTGTGTGTGTGTGTGTGTGTGTGAGTGTGTGAGTGTGTTCGTGTCCACCGTCAGATAAAAAAGTTTAGAGGGCAACCTTAGAAGTAGAGAAAAGGAGGGGGTATGACAAGTGGATTTAGCAACTGCACAGTGTTGGAGTTTCCATCTACTCGAAGATGAGAAACATTTCTAGTGGCTGTGAAGTCACCCATCTGATGGAAAGCTTGGGAAACGGTGAATCTCTTCCTTTGCCAAAGTAGCTATGATGCACTGATTAGCCAGGCCTGCTTTGCATGCATATTCCATTTACTAAGATACATAGTTTGAGAACCAAAAGCAGGGAGGAATGCAATGCTACACCGTTAGTCATTTCTGGTAGACTTGCAACCAAAATAAGTAATACTCCATACATTTTTAAGTCACCCTCACCAAATGAATTACCAAATACTACTAGCTAGTTATTACTGGCCGCTTTTTTTTAACCTTACTTCATCTTTTATATGTAAAATAAATACTTTGTGTTATTTCATGTGACATAATAACAGAAAATTTCTTTGTGAGTTGTAAAGCTCCTTTCACTTGCGAATTATTATTGGCCAATTACTGAGGTTCTCTGGATGGATGGATGGATATGCAGATAAATAATCTGAAATGGTTGGGGGAAAGTGCTATTAATTAAGTTGTACATATTTAATATCTCACTGAATCCTCTTAACAGCCTCCTAAGGTAGGTGAGTTTTTACAGGAGAGGAGCCACAGGCATAAATCTTAAGGCAGGTTGCTTAATTACTGAGGGAAGAAACAGGAATTTGGCTGAGGGCTGCTGTACTCTGAAACTGGGGCTCTTAGTCCCCATGCAATTCAGATGGTGCTTGATAGTTCTTCGTCAAGGCACCTGTAAATGACCAGAAATGAAAGGCCTAATTCTTACTATGAGAATTTACACAGCTTAATGGTGGAGAGGATTAAGTCCACATATCTATTTCAAAAAAGTAAAAAAGTTGTATCTCATTATTAAGATTCCATTCTGGATACACTGCTTGACAGAAGGATGCTGTATATTCTCTTGGAGGATGCTGCAAAATATGTTTTAAACAAAATTAACTTGGCTGTTTTTTTTGTTTGGTTTGTTTTTAGATGGCCGGAGTCATTACATCACACATATGCCCCCCAAGGGATTTCTTGTCCTCCATATAGTTTCTGGGAGGTTTTTGTTTCTTTTATTTTTGTTCTTCATCTGTTGCTGTTTTTCTTGGTCAGAATGAAGTTTGGGTAATTGAAAGCTACTCTATCTCTATCAAAGTAGAATGCTACTAACAGCAAAACTGCAGATTCAGAAATACATATATTAATATATCATCTGGAGCTATTTTTTAAGGTTTGCTATGGTACAAGCACAGTGCTGAGCATTTTACATTTTACAGCAATGCCTGATAATAGGCATATACTATTGCTATTTTCATTACACACATGAGAGGACTGTGTATGTAAGGCAGCAGATAGATCTCCCCTACAAATAGTTTGAAAATGGGAAAATAAGGTTTCCATCTAGAATTCAAATATAAAAGTGGCATGTAATGAATTTGATCAGCTATATGGAAACTTACCCTAAAGTGACAAAACAGCTGCCCTGCCAAGTCCTGACTATGATCTACTGAATATATTAACACATCTAAAGAAAGAATTTTCAAGAAGAAAAACATTTTAAAATTCCAAAACACAGAAATAATATATCCACAATTTCTAACCTGGGCAATAAATCTAGAAGTAAACAAAACAACACATTCACAAATATCCCCAATTACTTGAAAATTTCTAAACATCTGTCCCCAAACACATTGGTTAAAGAGAAAAATTAAACACTGCATGCTGAAGAATATTAACAAAAATATTTTAAAATGTTACTAACAATAACAAAAATCAAAACACTATATATCAAAGCCTTAATTTAATTCAGCAAATTTAATTCAACAAATACAGGTCTGCTACCTGTACCGAGGACTGAGGGTATATTGTATCTTAACTGAGAGCTATTTATTTGCAACTAGAAGAAACTCAACCTGGATTAAGCTAAAAAAAAAATTAAAAAATGTTAAAAGGATATAGAAATATCTTATAAAAATTTGATACTCAAAGTCGGGGCCACAGACCAGCAGCATTGGTATTACCTGGGAGTTTATCGGAATTGCAGAATCTCAGGCCCTGACCTACTGAATTGGAATCTGCATTTTTAAACGACACCTGGATGATTTTATGTATATTAAATTTTGAGGCTGGACGTGGTGGCTCATGCCTATAGTCCCAGCACTTTGGGAGACTGAGGTGGGCAGATCACTTGAGGTCAGGAGTTCAAGACTAGCCTGGGCAACATGGTGAAACTCCCTCTCTCTTAAAAATGCTAAACTTAGCCAGGGATGGTGGTACACGCCTATAGTCCCAGCTACTCAGGAGGCTAAGGCATGAGAATCGTTTAAACCCAAGAGGTGGAAGCTGCAGTGAGCCAAGAGCATGCCACTGCACTCCAGCCTGGGTGACAGAGAGAGACCCTGTCTCAAAAAAAAAAAAAAAAAAAAAAAAAAAAAATTGAGAAACACTATTATAGAGCACAAGGGCTTGACTTACAGCTAAGCCTCAAAATTACTGAAGCCAGAATTTAGTCACCAAGAACTAAGACTGTACAAATTCATTGAATTGTACATTTAAGATATGTACACTTCATTGTACCTCAATTAAAATCATATCTAAATTAAAAAAAGAAAGAATCAGTCAACCAAAAAGTTAGAGAAAAACATCAGAAGGAATGAATTAACAAATATACAAACAAAAAATTGGGAAAAAATGGAAAGCCAAAAGACAGGAGAATTAAATTTAAAATTACATCACATGTGGGCTGAGAGGTGCAGCAAACCACCATGGCACATATTTGCTTATGCAACAAAGCCGTACATCCTTCACACATATCCCAGAACTTTAAATTTTAAAAAACACATCATGTTTTTAAAAAATTTTTGGTGGGGATTGGTTTGACCATTAGAAAATAGGTATATAAACAGTCTAATAAAGAAGACGAAACAGCAAAGGAAAAAACAAAAAGTCAAGCAATTATGACTAAGAAAGGGGAAAAAACAATTAAAGGGTAAATTAAAATAGTAAGTCTTTGGGAACTAACAAATACACATAAATGGATACTATTTCTAAAGAAATACAAATTACCAAAATTTCTAGAAGAAGAATTTTGAGTTACGAAGTCTAATATACTTGTAAAAACAAAAACTATGAGAATATTAAAGACAAACTGTGGCTCAGAAAAGGTCCAGAGGATTTTACGTGATAATTTTCAACTCCCAAAGAAACTAGTCATTCTGTTTCTATTAAAACTGCTTTTAGACCATAAGTTTTAAAAATCTGGTTTTTTTTTCATAAATTGAATATTTTGCATTACTCTGGTATCCAAATAAGACTCTTAAAAATCTTAGTAATGTATTTTGCCATGAGGTGGTAACTGGTATCAGACTTGTTCTCCTATCTCCTCAACTAAACTTATGAAAAAAATGGTTTCACACATTGAGAAACTGGCAGCACAAGGTTTTGATCCCTGGAGAAGGGAAACAAATGAAGTGAACACCTATATATCTGAACCAGGAAGGGCTTGAAGTGTGTTAACCACTGAAGCTTTGTAAAATGATCAAAAGGGAAAAAAAATGAGTCTGTCACTGTCCCTAATAAAATGGAGAATGGCATCAGCTGTAGAGGAAGTATGTCTCCAGACCTCAGAGGCTGAGGACTAAATAGATCATTTATAACTGGACACAGAATCAGTGGATCATATACTAAAATATCCATGGAACTTATGTTTTCACTCACATTTGTGCTATCTGTACTGTTGTTAAACACATATGCCCAGTTGTTTAAAAAAAGAAGCATACTTTTAAGAAAAATTAGGGCAACTAAATAGTAAAACACACTATACTTGTGTAGAAAACATTCATGTTATGAGATATTTAAAACAACAGAAACAAAAACAAGCAAACAAAAATTCAAAATTTACTTTTTCATATATATCAAAGTACTTCAATGAAAGCCAATTAACAATATTATAATCCTCATAAATTATATAAACAACTGACACCAAATCCTCCATTACAGATAACAGCTATCACATGCTTGATATATAGTCTAGCCATTGCACTAAGTAGGTATTAGCATGAACCTTATCTTGGATCTTACAAAATGAAGCTTAGAAACCTTAAGTACTTACCCTAAGGTCATACAGCAAATGAGTGGCAGAGGTCGGGTGTGATCCCTGTACGATTCTCTATTCTCTGATTCACTATACTATTCTCCTTCTCAGTATAAAATCTGACTGTCAGAGCAGGGCAGCAACAGGATAAACTAGACTGGGGCAACCTGGAACTTCCA